TTTATAAATTTATAATTTTGAGGGTTTATTTTATAATTTGTAAAAAGTTCAGAGTGTGTATTGCAAATTCCATAAATTTTAGGGGTTGTTTCTGTTATTTGTAGGTTTTTAGTATGTTTATAGGTTTGAAATTTTCAAGGTATTTTTTATAAATTTTGAACTTTTATGAGTGTTTTTTTAATTTTTAAAACTTACAAGATATTTTCTCCAAAGTCAAAAAAACTTTCAGTTTTTAGTTAGCATATGCTTTTCAGATTTCTCACTGAATTGAGATAAATAAAATTTATAATTTTCAAGATGCTTTAATAAAATTTTGAATTTATAGGGGTGTTTTTGTAATTAAAAAACTTGGAGAATATTTTTTACAAAGTCTAAAAACTTTTAGGTGCTGGCTAGCATATGTTTTTTAGATTTCTATTTGATATGAAATAAATAAAGGATATGAATTATATGAAACGTATCTATTTTATCCAATAACATGTTAAGTCTCATTATAAATAGAATAAATAATTTGATTACCAATTCAAAGAAGATAGGATAATTAGAATAGATTAGGATAACTATGTAATATTTAAAAAAGCTAAGGGTAATATTGACCATAGAAAGATTTTCCCGAACTCGTACTTTTAAATGGAGTATGATAACATGTTAAGTCTCATTATAAATAGAATAAATAATTTGATTACCAATTCAAAGAAGATAGGATAATTAGAATAGATTAGGATAACTATGTAATATTTAAAAAAAACTAAGGGTAATATTGACCATAGAAAGATTTTTCCGAACTCGTACTTTTAAAGGGAGTATGATTGTTCATCAAATGACCTTGCTAACTTTCATATATAACTATATCCGATCCTTGTTTTCAGTTGTTATATTTAAAATGGTCCAGCAAGCTTCTTTCTTGAATATGACTAGTATATTAAATAATAGATCAATTGATCTTTATTAATGGTTCAATATGTGTTGTGATATATGAACTTTGTGTTGTAGGATGAATATCAATTCAGAACTGAAACTTAGGAGAATTTTCTCAAGATGGTGAGAAGGCAAAAAAAGCGAGGAACGACTACGTGATGTGGAGTGAAGATTAGGGAGTTACTGAGGCCAGTGTTTTCAAAGGCGTGCGCCTCACTGCTCGTCATGCGCCCTATGATGCGAGGCAATCGCGAAGCTCCCCGCATCTAATGTAGCAACATCTTTTGCGTCTCACAAGCATCCTGACTTTGCGCATGGTGTATTTAGTACACAGCCTCATATATTGTTATTCGTTAACATAATAACATTTCAATCGAGTCTTTATACTTGATAACCCATATCCCAAAAAGCAAAATAAATCCATTAGGCATTTTTACTAGTCTTTAACTGAGGATCCTAATTAATCCTCGTCTTTTGATTTTGCTTGGATATTAGTCTTAATTTGACATTTGATTTGAAAAGTATGAATTTTGGATGTGTTAGCATTAAAAATTAAGACCTTATATTGTGATTTGGTAGAAGATATTATATATCATGACATATTTTTATGTAAGTTCCTAAACATGTTCATTCGTGCTTGACCGTCTATCTTGAAAAATTACGTGTGCAGTGTGCCTCACATCACTCGAGTGTGCGCATCGCGTTACGCTTTGCGCATGTGCGCGTGAAGATACTTTGCGCCCCGCATTGCGCCTTGCATATTAATAACACTGACTGAGGCTCTTGGTGGACGAGGTTAAACATGGCAACAAAATGGATAATAGTAACTTTAAGAAAGTTATCATCACGCAAAATGTCCTTCCATATCTAAATGCCAAGTTTAGGAAAACTTCAAGTTTGAACATGTTAAGATCAGGATTAGGAGCTGGAAAAGGAATATTGAACCCATTGAGTTATTTATGAAAAATAATTTAGGATTTGATTGGGACCCAACAACCTAGAGAATAACTTGTTCTGATGAGGTGTGTGATAATTATAAGCAGGTTAGTTTGTTGATTTAAAAAAAGTACCTAGTGTCTTTATGTGCTATTGTGATATTTAAACTGATATATCTTTTTTTATAGGCTCATCCCGACACGCCAATGTTTAATGACAAGTTATTTTAGAATTTGGATGATTTATGCATGGTAGCGGGTAACAACTTTGCAACTGGTAGATTTGCTAGAGGACTGGGAGTTGAGGGCGTGGAGAGTGCCCTGTTACATAATGCATTAGGTGAGGGTAGGCTTGATGGTGATATTGACCTAGAATCTATTGATGTTGATAATTCTACCTACCATCCTACTCCGACTCGTATAGATACTCCACCTCCTAGCACCATTCCAGGTGTTGGTACTCCTATGATTGAATCTTGACATCGAACTCTAGCACTAGTCGAAACATCCTGAGGGCATCTACTCGCATCAACACCTCTGCATGATATCAACAGGCACAAGACATTGCAAATGGGATTACAAATATGTGTAAAGCTTTGCAAGAGTTAGTCTTAGAGGTGAGACTATTCCGGATTCAGCCATGTGTTGAGCAGGTGGCTTTTATTCCTGTGTTTACTGATGCACAATGGTTGACTGTCCTCAATGAAAATATTTCCCAAGACCTAAAGGATTTCCTTGTGAAGATGGATGGAAGTCAAAGGCGAAAGTTCATGATTTAGAGGATAACTGGAAATTTTCTAATTAAGGAAGAGGATGATGCCTACGCTTGATGGATATGCATAGGTCATGATTTGAAGATTAACCTACAGTTTGATGACTACACTTTTGAAATTGTATTTTGAGCACATGTCATGCTTCTATATATGTATTTTGAGGATATGGTCGCTTATTATATGTCTATTATGTGTTTGGTGACTATGTGGTTTTAATTGGAAATATGTCTATATGATGCTTATTATAAGTGTATGATGCTAATTATATGTTGATGATGTTTCTATGCGTGAACAGAATCAAGAGTGTTGTAGACTAGGATAGATTGTGTGATGTTTGATATATCTTCATTAGATGCAATTCAAATAGTTTGTAATTTGTGTGAGCATGATTATGCTTCTTGGGGAGATTGTTATTCAAGAGCCTTTCTGACCATTTAATTTTCATTTGATTGTCTTTATACCAAATAGAAATTGATGGAACTAGTCATATTTTTAAGTGTCCATAGGCTTTTTAATTTATCTTGTTTGGAATCTAATATTATAGTACTGGTCTTTTGCATCTCCTAAGTTTTATTTTCAGGTATATAACAAGATGGTAGAACATAATTGCCTCTTTTGTTATTTCAAGAGGATAGCATTGATTATCTCCTCATCCGCATAATCGTTATGGCTACACAAATAGCGGAGCTACTTGCAAAGGTCTCAACTCATAGAGTCAAGTTTACAATTACATGCATATTTGGGCCTCCAACATGGCATTACAGATCTTGATCTTCAATATTTGAAATCCAAGATGAAGACCAGTTCCTGTGATTTTCATCGGATATGTCATTGTATCTAGATTGCTTCATGAAATTGTGTATGGTATTACGAAGCCACAACCATTTACAAGATACACGTTATATCAGTGTTGAGGAGATGATTGCTATTTTCCTTCTCATGGTTACACAAAATTAACGATATTGCATTACTACTGAGAGGTTTTGATCGATCCCAATTTGCTCTAAGTGGTGCTTCAACAAAGCAGTCAAAGCACTGTATCATTAGCCCCTTCTCTGATGGCTTCACCTCCTATCGACCCACCAAAAAATGTCACATTAGACTCTAGTTTTTGGCCATATTTCAAGGTATTTTAATTTCAAATGTATTATATCACTCTTTATTATTTATTATAAAATTATTTGATTTATATCTCATACATGTTAAATGGAATGAATAGGACTGTATCAGTCCAATCGATGGAACCCACATTCCTTGTATGGTGCATAGCATGGATCAAACCCCATATCATAACAGACATGGCTATCTTTCCTAAAATGCCCTTGCAACATTGCACGTTTGATCTCAGGTTCATTTATGTCCTAGAGGGATGAGAGGGATTTGCCAATGATTAACGGGTCTTGAAGGATGCAATGAGTAGAAGAAGTGAATGTAGATGTCCAATCTCAGATGGTAATAATCTTTATGTCAAATTGTTAAATTTAATGTTTGCTTTTTTAAGATTTTTGTCGATTATAATTCCAACAATATATTATCGCAGGCAAATTCTATCTGGTGGATTGTGGTTATCCCAATAGGCTGCAGGTCTTGGCTCCATATAAGGGTACAAGGTATCACCTAAAGGAGTTCGGTCCAGCCAACAACCATCAGCGGCCACGTAATCCACATGAGTTATTCAACCATCGGCATGCATCTCTCCGAAATTGTGTCAAGCGTATCTTCAGCGTTTTCAAGTTAAGGTTCACTATTTTCAAGAGTTAACCTCCTGGTTTTCCACATGAGACACAAAAACATATGGTTTGGGCTTGTATCGATGTGCATAACTTTATGAAGTTAGAGAACTCAAGCAATGACTTTGAAGTTTCCGATCTTCCTTCCGAGGCACCATGTAATGTTGCACTGCCTAATGCAGATTCTGATGAGGACGATGATTTACAGACTCAGCAAACACAACAGACGGTTGCATTAGAGTGGAGAGAAAACATGGCAAAGAATATGTGGCATGACGGGACATGCATGTCACAAGGACTCTATTTTTAGTTGGTGGCCATTTGACTTAATTTGTTATAATTAAGTCAAATATTTGTAATAGTCATGACTTTTATATCTCAATCTAGGTTGTTCTTCTTTAAATAATAATTAACCACTAATATATGTTAATTATAGTATTAATAAGGATTAAATCGATACGTAAATATTTATATCAAATATTTCCAATACATTATATTATTAATATATTATATTATTTAAAGTGTCCCGTTACCCCCGTTTTATGCCACAAGTAAAAGGACACAACAAAGCCACCCAATCAAATAAATAAATAAATGCATGAATATAAAAAAAAAATAGATGGGTACTAATTTCTAATAATTACCATCTGGAGAATTGAATTTCTTGAGCTCAGACTCGAGGCTGCGAGCAAAAGACCTCCAGTTTCTCCCGGATCCGAGCAGCCCGTGAAGAACGAAGGCCGTGGAATTGAAAGGCTTTTCGGGCGATGGGATCTCCTCGTAGGCTAGGGTTTCAAAGCTCCTCGATTGAGATCCGTTAAGGAGATTCAACGAGAACGGAGCCGAGGAGAAGAGGCGAGACCGAAAGGAGGAGTTCGAAAGGGCCCTCGCCATTAGTTTCGAGATTTTTGCTTTCGTGCGCGCTAGTCTAAAAACGACGATTAGTTTTTTTTTTTTTTAATGAATAGAGGAAATTGTGCTCTTTTCTCATAAAACCCCAAACCATAGGTTATTTTGCCGGACAAATTTTCAAAACCAACCCATTTAGGAATTTATTGTCAAAAAACGACCCCATTCAAACAAATTTGCAAAAAACGACCTGGTTTCAGCCTCTGCGCTGAAACCAGGTCGGTTTTAAAAAAAAAATTGAAACTTCACGGGAGTTGAACTCCCGTGAAGTTTACCAGCTTTTAATTAAGCTGCTAAACTTCACGGAACTTCAACTCTCGTGAAGTTTCACAATTCAAAAAAAAATTTTTGAACTAAAAAACTTCACGGGAGTTGAACTCCCGTGAAGTTTAGTAGATTAATTAAAAGCTGCTAAACTTCACGGGAGTTCAACTCCCGTGAAGTTTCGGAGTTTTTTTTTCAAAAACCGACCTGGTTTCAGCGCTGACGCTGAAACCAGGTCGGTTTTTGCAAATATCCTAAAAAAGGGTCGTTTTTTGCAAATAAAAACTCAAATGGGTTGGTTTTGAAAATTTGTCCTTATTTTGCCGGAAACCACAAAATTAGGGGATAAAAAAAGGGAATAATATTGTTGACAGCTGTGGGATTTGAACCCACGCCCTTTCGGACCAGAGCCTAAATCTGGCGCCTTAGACCACTCGGCCAAACTGTCCGCTACGTTTTGAGTAGTTATTCGAATAATTATGCTGCTAATTCCATTTGTTTCGGGGTATACATTAATCATACGGTTGTAATATTTTTAGATTTGAGGTTGATTTTGATGATTAAGAGATCCAAACTTACCTTTTTTTAATATAACGAACATATTAATGAAGTACTTTTGTATCATATGAACTATAATTCTTTTCCATACTATCTGGAGTTCTCCCAAAAAGAAAAAGACCTGATATTCTCATTTTTGTTTTGTGTCTGCGTGGGTATCCTTATATATCTGCATGTATGTCCATGATTGTTAAGCGGATACGGATATAATAAGTATCATGTCCATGCCGTATCCGGACTGCTTGCCCTTGTGGACTGCTGCCGATCCAATTTCAATCAACAAGCTAGCTATTTTGAATCTTATTGTTAAAACCATTAAATGCAAGGTTATCAAACGAAATAAAAGTTGTTACAAATTTCACAGAAATTAAAAATAAAAGAACAGAAATGGATAATGTGAAATCATTATCTTACACATACATTTCAATGGTCAATAATCTGTTACAATTTCAGTATTCAGATATTTAACGGTCTTTCCTCTTTTCTGATGTAGGTACAAGCAGAACGGGCTGGAACGCTCGGATGAAAATCACATTTATAGTACCACTCTGATAGTAAAAAGATTAAAAGTGCATAAATACATTCCTACAACCTCATTACAATCAAAATCAAAATCAATGTATTGACATATGCTTCGTCCATTGCTGAGATCAACTGAAGAAAACTATCGTAGTAATGAAAGAATTGTAGCAATGAAAGAAAACTAGCGCGACATGATCAATACATTTCTAGGTTTATTAGAAACTTGGGTCAAGATAATTACATGTACTCTCGTAAAGTCATCATTTTCCCCTCTACATAACAATAACCCGGATAAAACAATTTATGTGACAAAGAGTTTTTATGATGAAGGTGAACAGGCTTCAAGCTTAGGTAGAAGACTTCTCCATGCATCAGCAATATCCTTGGCGAGCCTCTCTTGCCCCTTTGCAAACTCATGAAAGGCAAGACCCATGTCTGCTGTCTTCTGCTCTTGGAACCGAATTATTTCTTCACTCATTAGTTTAACAATTGTTTCGTATCTTTGGATCGCCTCCTCGCTCTCCGCCTCCAACTGTGAAGAGTGAAAATGAGTGTCGATAGAAGACAAACTCGAGCTTATCAAATTAAATTTAAATAGTCTCACCTCTTTGTATTCGATCTCTGCTTCTCCAGCTTTTTCAGACCTTATTAGCAACAGCTTTTCTCTGCAAATCAACATCAAGCATCAACAATCTTAAAAATTGTTAAGGGTATTACTGGAATTGAAGAAATATAGGCACTCAGTTTGTTGTAACTGGGCATCCAATTACACTTGCATGTTTGTAGTTCTTGTTTCTGAACTGAAATTGATTAAATAATATGAAAACGAACGAGTAATCTCTCTTATATGTCATTAATTGACTGCAGAAACTAAATTCCTTTCCTCCAACAAAAAATAGGAATTATAATTCGATGAAATATTCATTCCCAAGTACAACTAAAAGCAGGAACTAAACTTCAGAAATTGGGATTCTGATGAACAAGATCAGAAAGATTTTTTTTTTTAAAGCCATGTTTCATTACAACCAGTCACGGGCCCTGGGAAAAGGATTGGATCTATAAATTTTCCATGTGCTTGTGTTTGCGCACTCATATCCCTGTCTGTTTATAAAATAGGTGATTCAAGCACAAGAAATTCAAAATCACCTATATTCAAATGAGCTTGAAATGAAAGCTAGATTAAGGGCTTTTAAATTATTTTTTATAGTTCCCTTTCCTCTCTGCACACGCCTCAAAAGATACACATGCATTGAGAAACATTATTTTCCCATAATTGAGAAAGTTCAATTCAGAAGAGTTTCATCAGTCACACACACACACACACACACACACATAGAGCAAAGCAAGTGAGAAATATGTCAAAATCATACAGATTTATCTTCTTCAACTTGGTTGTTTCAGCTAAATCATACTGCTGCTTGAAAGCACTGGCTCTGTCTGCCATTGTTGCCTGTTTTGAAACACGAGGGAAACAGGGATTAGCATGCAATTTAACTTCCATGAGGAACACCTAATACATTAACGAGACACTTCAGAAAGATGATGTTCTTGAGATTTTAACTGCTCTGTGAACTCGTTCATGGTTCCGGGAGATAACTTAGATAGGTTGGCAAAAAACCCAAAGTATATAATACAAAAAGAGAGCTACATGGAAAAAATTTTCAAATTTCAAACATTCTTAAAGAAATACTGTTCCTTGAATAATCCAGTATCTGCATGTCAAAACTACAACATTAACCAGCATGACATGTATTCAGGAAGGTTCAGGCTCTTTCTTCCCCCCCAAAAAAAAGTGCGAGAATAAGATTTCAAATATTTAAAGCATTCACATGCAAACAGAAAAGCAAGCTACATTTAACTTCATATCCTGCTATGCGGGATGACAATCAGTGGTAGCTAGCTATAAAAAGCAAATCAAGGATTTAGTGAGGAACTGAATCATGGAAAGGAAAGGAAGAAGAATTTAGTGAAAAGTAAGCTTGCTCGATAAAACTAAAGATGTAGTTAGAAAACACATGAACCAAAATTTACTGATTCACATCGCTGTCCTGAAATCATTCCCCTAGCACCACAGTTCTTGCAACAAATGAACTTTTGGAACATTGTTAATTATTGAACATTTATACTGCAAATAAAAGTGATGCAACAGAATTTCAATTTCAATAAGATAACTGCAAGCATATATTTTAAATGTAATTTTACAAGAGTTTAGTAGAAAATGGAGCAAAATTGAGGTTGTAGTAGGAAATGGAGCAAAAATGACCTTTATAGACTGCACTGCTCGCACATAATCTTTTACTGGCTCTTCAAAATTCATTAGGAGGTTGTGAGCCTGCATCAAGAACGAGTTCGATGTCAAGAGAAGACTTCTCAAAGTAATCAGGTCATGATTATGTATTGCATTAAACAAACAAACATTTAGCTAGAACTTTTTTACGGAAGATACCTCCTTATTGAGCTTTAAAGATAATAGTTCTGATTTCGAACCAAGCTCGGAAAATGCCTTCCCAAGAGAATTTCCTTCACAAGCGCCCAAAAGTTTGATTGCTTTCCCAAAATCTGACAGCGACTGCCCCAGCTCTGAGGAAACAGTTAGACAGCAGTATTAAGGCTTACTCCATTATCGAGCCAATGTGAACCAGAGGAAAAAGGGGTCAAAGCTCAAGGCGAATATTTACCTCTGTGTCTCTTTACAAGGCGGAATGCCTGCTTCTGTGCCTCTGCCAAGT